ACCATGGGGGACGACTGAGACCTGTAGCTTATTTTTCATCCAAACTGGACTCTGTTGCAGCAGGGCTGCCTAACTGCCTGAGAGCTGTGACGGCTGCTGGAAAAGCAGCCATGGCATCACGTGACACTGCTAGTTCCACATGCTGTGTCGATGATTTTGCTTGAACAAAAAAACATCTCATCTCTCCACAGCCAGGTGGAGGAGATACAAGACCGTGTTGCTTGATATATCTAACATTACTGCACTGTACTGAATCCTGCTACTCTCCTCCCAACTCCAGGTGAAGGACAGCCGCATGATTGTGTTGCAGTCATAACAGAAATCTGCTCTCCAAGGGCAGACTTGCAGGAGACTCCTAACAAACCCAGACATGGAATTGTTTGTGGACGGCTCAGCATCACGTGATCCAGCAACTGGTAAACATAGAGCCGGTTTTGCAGTAACAACTTTGCATGACACAATTTTAGCAAAACCGCTCCCTTCAAACTATTCTGCACAAGCAGCAGAGTTAGTTGCACTCACAGAAGCATGTAAATATGCAAAGGACAAAACTGTAAATATTTTTACAGACAGCCGTTATTCTTGGGGTGTTATTCATGATTTTGGGAGATTGTGGGCAAATAGGAAGTTTTTAACATCCACAGGCAAACCTATTGCTCATCACAAACTGGTTGCTGAACTACTTGGCGCTGTTCTGTTGCCCAAAATGATTGCTGTGTGTAAGTGTGACGCTCACACGAACAAACTTGATCCTATCTCACAGGGGAATGCCAGAGCTGACCTTGTAGCAAAGGCTACAGCAAAACACACACTAACTACCCAATGTACTGTTTTAACTGACCCGCCATTGACTCCTACAGCTGATTTGCAGGAATTACAGGCGAGAGCGAGTCCAGAGGAGAGAGTTGTTTGGAAGAAAGCAGGCTGCACATTTTCTGACAAAGTGTGATATGGGCCTGATGGGAAGCCATACCTGCCTAAGTATCTGTTTCCTTATTATGCTAAGTTGACACATGGTAAAAACCATGTATCAAAAGGGAGTATGTCACAGGAAATAAACAGATACTGGTTCACAAAGGGGTTCTACAACTTCTCCCAGAAATTTTGTCAAAGTTGCATGATTTGTGCAACTAACAACGTGGGGCGACCAATTCAAATCCCACAGGTGGCACACCCACCCCCCCAGACAAACAATTTGAACACCTGCAAATGGACTTCATTGAACTGAAACCGTCACAGGGGAAGAAATATTGTCTTATCACGGTAGATATGTTCTCTAAATGGGTAGAGGCATTTCCAACATCTAAACAGGATGCAGCAGCAGTTGCAAAAGCTTTGATAAGCAGGATCATTCCTTGCTGGGGAATCCCAACTAAGATCTCCAGTGATAATGGCACACCTTTCATCAGCGCAGCATTGAAGAGTATAGGGGAGGATATGGGGATTGATCTCAGGCAACATTGTGCTTAGCATCCAGCTTGCCGATCGTTTAAATGCACATGAGAAGCCGGATGAGGTGCAGAGGGGGTCTCAGTCCTTTTGAAGTCCTATTTGGCAGACCATTGAAAACTGGGATTGGGCCAGCTGGAAGACAACTCCCTGACACCAGCCAATGTGAGGATGAAATGCTGAAATATTGTGCTAATTTGTCCTCTGTGCTATCTGAAATTCACATGCAGGTCAAAAACGCCATCCCAAAGGTAGCAGAAAAGAAACTGCATGATCTGGAGCCAGGGGACTGGATCGTGGTAAAGGACTTCAGGAGAAAGAACTGGCGGGCTCGCAGGTGGACTGGGCCATTTCAGATACTGCTAACAACAGAAACAGCAGTATAAGTGGCTGAAAGAGCAACTTGGATTCACGCCACCCACTGCAAACGAGTGCCGAAGCAACCAGATGGCCTCAGACCAGGCGAAGATGGAGATCAGTGAGTGAGCTGAGCTTTCCCCTGCCTTGTGTTCCTAGGGAGGGAGGGGAGTGGAGGTCTCTGAGACCACCTAGAACCACTAATCTCCCAAACACTCACCGCGGGCACACTGATAAGATATGATACCAGAGATGCCAACAGATGGCTCTGGAGAGGTGACAGGCAGAGAGAAAACGGAGGCGTTGTTCTGCTCACTGTCATCATCATCCTGTCATCATTTCCAAACATGAAAGCAACAAACTTTGGCCTGACTGAGGGAAAGATCCAGGAGGAGTCACACCTCCTCCCTGACAGCCCGGCTGGGCTGAAAGACAATGCATGGTACGCAACCATGATGGCCACTTCAAGAAAAGTGACCAATCTGAGCTGTTATGTGTGTGCACAGCTCCCTCATGGAGTGGGGAACTCCATACCAGTGAAACCCAGACCATTAAGTGTTTCAGAGCCCTGTTAACCTTCACGCAGGGGTTTCCCAGAAAGGGCCGAGTAGTCAAGGATATGACCCAGGCACTCAAACTGTGTAATATCAGCATGGTCAATTTTGGGGGCTCCACCACCATTCTGGAACACGTCTCAAGCCCATCATGACAACGAATACAACAGCCCGAACCGGAGCAGTGTGTTTCACCAGACAATGTCTCACACCAAGAGATCAGTTCCTGGGAACATCATCATATAAGCAGACGGTTACAGCAACCTGCGGCACCAAATGGGATAATGGAGCCAAGAAGGAGTGCAGGTGGAAGCAGCCGTATCTAGCACCGTCTCCGCCAGCGGAGAAAGGTATTGGGGGTTTTCTCCCCTGGTGGGGGACTGTGAACAATGCACATAAGATAGATGGACTGGCTATTGAACTGGAGTACCTGACAGCCCTGGTGGAAGTAGGTTTTTCCACCCTCACGCCCTGTGCAGGGCCTCAGAAATGTGGCTCTGCAGAACAGAATGGCTCTGGACCTGATGCTGGCAACTCAAGGTGGATTTTGCCACATTATTGGAACGGACTGTTGTACATACATCCCAGATGTCTCGGACAACATGACTCATGTTGTCTCCCACCTGAATGATCTACTACACGAGGAGAAGAGTCAGGACTCACAGAACTCTGGGGGATGGGACATGTGGTCGTGGCTGACAACAGGCGGATGGAAGAATGTGTTGTTTAAAATGTTTGTCATTCTTGGTGCTTTCCTCCTCCTGACATGCTGTGTGATCCCTTGTGGTAGATCTATGATTGCTGCAGCTATTAAATCATCTATGGGTCAGTATATGCAATTACATACTGCACACACAGATTCGATGGAGTGGATCCCACCTTTCAGTGGGGATGAAAATGAAGTTTAATCTGAATCATTTCTAAGTTTCATAGCTATATTCTGAATCATTAGTCTTTGCAAATATAATGAAATTCCACATTTTGCATAATTACAAGTGTTTGTATTGTGTCTTATACTCTCCCTTATATTCTTATATTCTTATATTGTCTATTACTTATATTCTTACCTAATTATCTACTCTGCAAGTACTGCTAAGGTTAATCAAATGTTTGTATTCTTATATTTGGTTAGCATAAAATGCTAAAAGGGAGTAATATAATGGGAATTCCAAACGTATTGCATGTAACCCTGGACTCAGGGAGACTCATCTGATATGGGGCACTGAATCTGTGTAAACGTAACAGTCAAAATATCTCTGTTCTCTGTGGTATCCAGATTTCAGGGACAATGTGTCTCTGTGGGATGATAAGATTGACCCTAAAGCTGGATAAATAACAGGCTCACGGAGCTCTCCTCACTCATTCGAGCATACATGTACACGGCGTATGTGTTTTGCTGTGAGTCCTTCTGCAGAAGACTTGAATCAAATTCAGAGAAAGACAAGTGTAAGAAACTCCTTGAAAAATGTTTGTTTAAAAAAAATGTCATTCTAATTTTATTTTGCATGCCCAAAGAGCAATACAAATACATAAGAAATCCTGACAGAGGCCGTCGTAATTCATGCATGGAAGGGTTAAGGGAGTCTTTGGTTGATGTGCTGGCACCTCAAATTATTCATGTGCAGGATTTGCTCTGGAGGAAAATGATCTGGGCCGGTATTTATCAAGCTTCTCAGAATTACTAAAGAATTACATAATTAATTATTAAAGGAACAATGCTAAGAACTAACTGAAGAGTAAAACAATTCTTGTCTCAAATCTGTGCTTAAAAGTTAGTTATTAAGCATCATAGTCCTAATTTGAGTGAAGTGTAGGACTAAATTCTGTGTCAGTCTTAGTGCTGATTCACAACACTGTGCTGTGCCCCAAACAGGATGATGATGTAGCCAAGGACCAATCACTGAATAGATTTCCTTATTTAAGAATATTCTCAGATAAATTCACATTGAATGGTGAAATTCCTAGGAGGAGTTTACGTTCAACACACATTTAACAATAAAGAATTTTCAAGAGAATACGTTATGATATACACATTAATAAATGAAAGATAAAATTTTATCTTTATATGAGCACCATCAATTGCACCTACTGCTCCTTTGAAGCAACGCATGACAATGTGTGAAGCTTTAAGTGTCATGATTGTTTCCATGACAGTTGGGTTTATTGATGGTTGTGATGGGCCAAAATCATCAGCATTGCTACATTTCTCCTGTGGCAAAAAAACAAAGTGTCATCGCAACCTTCAGTTTAGCTGAAAATGTATTAGGCTACTGCGTAAAGTCAGTGGTGAGATGACTTCTTTCACCAACTCACTGACAAAGACTGTCTTTCTGTCCGACCCCGTCTCCTTAACTAATAGTTCTAATAATTTAAAAACATTCTTCCTCTCCTGAAAGATTTGCGCATGTCCCATCACAAGCCCCTACTGGCAGCTCCTAACCACTTGAGTGAGCTCTCTAGCTGTCTTAAATAACTGGGAGTGTAAGAGTGATTCTTAGCTTTAAGACATTTAATAACTTGCTTTAATTCTTAAGTTTAAAAGTAGGAGTAAATTTCATGAAGCTTGATAAATACCGGCCATGATTTCAGTGAGGATAGTATGATTAAAAAAAAACCCGGTGTAAACGTCCCTGAACTGACCTCAGAGTTGCCAGTCTGCAGTGTGGACTTTCCAGTTCAGCAGACAGCAGCTTCTCTCCTGAATCCTGCAGGTTGTTTCCACTCAGGTCCAGCTCTCTCAGATGGGAGGGGTTGTACTTAAGTGCTGAGGCCAGAGAAGCACAGCTGATCTCTGACAAACTGCAGAGACTCAATCTGAATAAAAAAATAAATGATCCGACTTTAGAAGACAATGTTCCTGCTTGAAATCATTCAGTGTTTAATAATCTGTATGATAATAATCTGAAAATGGAAACTCCAAACACCTGAACCCAACAGGATGCAGGTTCAAATTGTAAAAAAAAAGAAAAAAAAAAATTAATATTAATGATAACGTGCTGTTACTTCAATAAAAACGTAGTGACTTCACGTCTTAAACTCTGCAGCTCCACCAGTGGCTCCGTCTATACAAACTCATGTTGTGCAGCCAAACACAAAGTAAAACCCACAGAAACGGATTTAAGATTCTACTCAATCCCAAAGTTTCCAAAGATGCCAAATATGTCAGGATGAACTTTGGAGAAATGTGAACAAAAGACATCTACAATATTTCTTTTAGGAATAGTGGAGCCATCAAATCAAAGCTTCTTCTTCTATTCAGTCAGTATAAGCATCATATAGCTTCAGAACAATGTTGGAAAAAGCAAATACTGAATGCATTTGTTATTGTCTGATAGTTGAAAAGTAGATTATTTATTTATTCATTGAATTCATGCAGTTTTATCATCATTTCTTTAAAAACATGATGTGAAATATATGGTGAAAATCAGGAGTTTAAGAGGTTCAGAGTGAATTATCCAGTAGAGATTTTTCTTGTTATAACGTTTTAAATGTAGAGTTCAACATTGATCTGTCAGAGTCAATGGACTAAACCACTGAAGAAGAAAATAGAGTTTAGCATTAAGATCCTCAGTGTGGATCAGTATAATATCAGCATTATGTCTGCACTTTAGTGTCACCACAACTTTCACATCATATTAATCTCAGCACAGAAGGAAAAAATGGTGTCTGACCCCAGAGTCTCCAGTCTGCAGTGTGGACTCTCCAGAAAATCACACAACAGCTTCACTCCTGAATCCTGCAGCTCGTTGTCACTCAGCTCCAGCTCTCTCAGATGGGAGGGGTTGGACTTCAGAGCTGAGGCCAGAGAAGCACAGCTGATCTCTGACAAACTGCAGCACCTCAATCTGAATAAAGAATAAATGATGGAGATAAAAATCCATTTCTAATCCAATCAGATGTGTTCAGGTTTTAAATGTGGAGCTCAACATTATTATGTCCTAATCAATGAGCTTTTCTCTTTTACAAGTATATATTGTATTTCTTAATATTATTACATATTTTTATTTTAACCCTAACCTATACAAAACCATATGGTAACTTGAATGAGGATAAAATAATTCAATCATGTGTTTCTTAAAGACTTTCCAAATGTTATTGGACTGAGTGAATCAAATTCTGACAGTGAAACAAGTCATTTTGGGGGGTTGTGAGGCCCAAAAGAATTTATGACAGAGCAGACTACAACGGACTTTATGATGAAAGCACAAGCTTAACTATGTTGGATGTGATTGGCCAGTGAGCACAGTCCCAGAACATGCACACAGGTTTGTTTCATACACCACTCGAATGACAAGCCCACTAGGGCCGGTAAAAAGAGAGGCCACTCACAAAAAAACTTTAGGGATATTTTGATGGTCCATCAACCCACCAATGCAGCAGGCCACTGGGATTTTTCATGTTTGTATGCCAGATGGCCAACAAGGTATCATTTAAAATTTAAAAAATGCCTTTTCTTTTTAGGACTTTAAGTAGTTCAGAGTGAATTATCCAGTGGAGATTTTTCTTGTTATAATAAGGTTTTAAATGTGGAGCTCAACATTGCTCTGCCACAGTCAATGGACTAAACCACTGAAGAAGAAAAGAGACTTTAGCATTAAGGTCCTCACTGTGGATCAGTATAATATCAGCCTTATGTCTGCACTTTAGTGTCACCACAACTTTCACATCATATTAATCTCAGCACAGAAGGAAAAAATGGTGTCTGACCTCAAAGTCTCCAGGCTGCAATGTGGACTCTCCAGAAAACACAGCAGCTTCACTCCTGAATCCTGCAGGTTGTTGTTACTCAGGTCCAGCTCTCTCAGATGGGAGGGGTTGGACTTCAGAGCTGAGGCCAGAGAAGCACAGCTGATCTCTGACAAACTGCAGCGCCTCAATCTGAATAAAGAACAAATGTAGATTTGTGAATTTCTAATCCTATCAGATGTGTTCAGGTTTTAAATGTGGAGCTCAACATTACTATGTCCTAGTCAATGAGATTTTCCCTAAAATGAGTAAAGTGACTTTGTCATTGTGGATCATAATTTTGATGGAGACTGCAGAAGGCCGACATGTACATGGACTGAATAGCCCTGAGAAGCGACCCCCTCACCCTATACTCCCACAGCAACTCCAACAGTATCTCCCGGAGGACCCGGTCATATGGCTTTTCCAGATCCACAAAACACATGTAGACCAGGTCGGCATTCTCCCAGGCCCCCGTACAGGATCCTTGCGAGAGTGAAGAGCTGGTCTGTTCCATGACCAGGATGGAATCCGGATTGTTCCTCTTCTATCTGAGGTTTGACTATCGGCTGAACCCTCCTTTCGAGCACTTTGAAGTAGACTTTCTGAGGCAGGCTCAGGACTGTGATACTTCTGTAATTGGCACACACTCTCTGGTCCCTCCCCCTGATCTGTCACCCTATGGGCACTGCCCCCGACTTCCACACAATGTTGAAGACCTGTCATCCAAGACATCCCCTCTCCATCCACAGATTTCAGCATTTGTGGATGGATCTCATCAATCCCCAGGGTTTGCCACTGTGGAGTTATTTATCTACTTCAGTGACTTCTGCCAGAGAAACTGATGATCAGCCTCCAGCTCTGCCTACCATAGGGGTGCATTAGTGGGATTGAGGAGTTCCTCAGAGTGTTCCTCCACCAGTTGAGGTCAACAGTGTCCCACGCTCACTGTACACAGCTTAGATGGTTCCCCATTTCCCTCTGCTGAGGTGGTGGACAGTTTTCCAGAAATACCTTGTTGCTGATCAAAAGTCCTTCTCCATGGCTTCTCCAAACTTCTCCCACACCCGGTGCAATGCCTCATTCTTTCGCAATGGAAGCTTTGAACCTTGCCCACTCAGATTCACTGGCCCAAACTTCACCAGGGATGCCAGAAAAGCTGTGCCGGGGGAGTGAATTGAGATCTCTCTGACAGGGACCTCCTTAGTACTACCCATTTGGGCTTACAAGGTCTGTCCAGAGTCAATCCCCAACCGATCCAACTCACCACCAGATGGTGATCAGTTGAAAATCAATCATGAACTTTCAGCCGAGGGTGCTCTGGTACCACATACACTTGTGTCCCTGTGTTCAAACATGGTGTTTGTTATCCAAAGAAAGTTAAAAATAAAGGGCAACTGGACTTGGTTGAAGATACTAGAAGACGTTTCATCCCTCATCCAAGAGACTTCTTCAGTTCTGACTGACTGGTAGGGAAACTCAGCAGTTTAACCTCTGTGGGGTTGTTTGCCAAGATCGATACCACTGGTTCATTGGTGTTCCTGGCTGTTGTAACGACAGTAGTTATGGTCGCTAGAGGTACCTGAGGCCAAGTCTGAATGACCATTGTTCATCAAGTTTCCTTTGAAGTGATGAAAGGACAGCATTGTAAATGGGGGATCAGTAGCGGCGTAGGCTCTAAGACAACTGAAGAAGTGTCTTGGATAAGGGACGAAACGTCTTCTAGTTTCCATAACCAAGTCCAGTTTTAACCTTCTTTGGATAACTATGACCTGGATGACTGACTATATTTGAAAAGAAATTCTTTCAATTGATAAATAAACATAAGATCCAATAGTAACAGAGAGTCAGTGAACTGACCTCAGAGTCTCCAGTCTACAGTGTTGACTCTCCAGAAAACCACACAGCAGCTTCACTCCTGAATCCTGCAGGATGTAGTTATTATTCAGCTCCAGCTCTCTCAGATGGGAGGGGTTGGACTTCAGAGCTGAAGCCAGAGAAGCACAGCTGATCTCTGACAGCCTGCAGCCACTCAATCTGAATAAAGAATAAATGATGGTGAAAAAGATCACTTGTGCACACAATTTTCCTACAAATGTGAGTAAAAAAAAGTCAGAAAGACATTAAGATGAAGATGGTACGTTTCATATCCTGCCAAGATGAGGATTCATTGGGGGAAACAACCTGCAAAAGAACTTTGAGGATAGGAAAGGGAGAGACTACCAAAAGGTTTAGGTCTACACTGATCTATTTCTCAGACAGCTTTTTCTTTTCCTATAAAGCATACTGTATATTCAGATTATAGAATAAATTCCTGCGTTAAAAACATGTAATACCCTCCAACTGCTGATCCGTGTCCAAACATGGAGACACATAAGTCACGGACTTCCACAAGGTTTTGTGCTTGGACCAATCATATTCACCTTTTATATGCTTCATTTAGGCAATATTTTCAGGAAACATTCCATAACCTTTCAATGTTATCCAGATGATCGAGAAGGTCAGGTAAAACTAATCATTGATGACAAGATGACAAATCAAAATCTGAAGAGGCAGCAAAACCTTGTGCTTCTGAAATGCTTGCTGTGGGGCTTGACACAGAGGACAGAATAAAACCCTGTTAATCATGACTCTTACCTCTGGTTTAATGCATACCACACCAAAGTGGCTGTGTGGGTTGTCTTTGTATCAGCCACATCAGCTTCTGATATTGTGAAGATAATCACAGTTCCTAACTTCACCTTTACTGAGCTTGGCATTCATGTCTTTCTTCTCTTTATCTAACTTCTCTTCCCTAATTTATTGACCTTCTGTCAAAGTCAGTAAACTGACCTCAGAGTCTCCAGTCTACAGTGTAGACTCTCCAGTCCGGCACACAGCAGCTTCACTCCTGAATCTTGCAGCTTGTTGTTACTCAGGTCCAGCTCTCTCAGATGGGAGGGGTTGGATTTCAGAGCTGAGGCCACAACTTCACAGTGAGTCTCTGAGAGTTCAATGTCAGATAGGCTGTCAGGACACAAAATATTTTATTATGAAAGAGGAAACTGTTTTGTCGTCAAATGCATGAAGTAAAAATAGACATGTCCTGCATTGATGAACAGTGAACAATTGCAGTTGGGAAAGATGATATGTCTTTGCTACCTGCTGCTGTCAGGTTCACATCCACAGAAGTTAAACAAATAAGGCTGTGACAAGACAGTAACCGACAAGAGTGAGATGAGACAAGATTTCAACACTATTTTTAAGAAATCTTTAATGCTGAATTATATGAAAATTTAGAGCAATACACACTTAATTTACAGCATTCTGATAATTTTTTTCCTCCAGCAGTTATGCTACTCTCACATCGGTTTCTCCTGTAGATCAACTTCTTTAATATCTGCTGAGTCATGATTTAGTCTTTCCTCCTCTTTGTGTCTTTGTTTGGGGAAGTAACCTCTTTAAATGTGACTGTGGCACCTTTTCATCTCAGTGAGAAATTATTTCGTTTAATTCAGTTATTTACTCCTGGACTTTAATAGCTGCATTTCAGCAGGTTCTCGGCTCATGTTGAAAACTTTCTGTAAATTCAGAATCTCTCACATATCTGTCTACCTGCCCTTGACTCTGCTGTGCATTAGGTTATTGATCCGCTGGTAGTAATGTTACCCCCTTCGGACCGTTTGACCGACACACAGTGACTGCATGTTGCATGAGAAACCGAAAGTTACTGAAAAACTTTTGGTCAGGCAGAAATCTCACCACAAATTCAGACACGTTAACGTCGGCAGCTCAGAGAAAGTGCAGCTCACAGTTCCAAACAGCAGGCTGCACCTCAGTTTTTAGATGTTTATGTTGCAAAACTCTACCAGCTATGTTACCACTCATTAGTGTAAGCTGTCCATTTCCTGCTGCTTCTCTTCTCTACACCAACAAGAACGAGAAAACACCTGCAAGGTTCTTTTTGAGTAACAGGATATAAGGAAAGACTTTACGATGAAAAGTTTAATTCATGAGCAATAAATTGCTTTATTGACTAATGAGACTAATGTTTAGAAATAAATAGAATAACTGTTCATTAATGGTCAGCTACAAACACAACCAACTGAAGAAGATCAATGACAAAATACAACCGACATAAATATTTAAAAAAACAAACAAGTGGAACACTCTTTTAATGATAATCACATCTGGACTTACCGAGCCTTTCTGCAGTTCCTCACAGCTGAAATCAGTCTCAGTCGTCCCTCCTCTGATGTGTTGTACTTCTTTAGGTCCAACTCATCCAGAACATCCTCTGACATCTGCAGCATGTAGGCCAGAGCTGAGCAGTCGAACACAGAGAGTTCCTTCTCTGATCTGTTCTCTGACTTCAGGAACTCTTGGATCTCCTGATGTACTGAGTGGTCGTTCATCTCCGTCAGACAGTGGAAGATGTTGATGCTTCTGTCAGGAGAGATATGTTCGCTGTTCAACTCCTTCAGGTTGTTGATGGCTCTCTGGATGATTTCTGGACTGTTGTCTGTCCGACCCAGCAGGCCTCCTAAGAGTTTCTGGTTGGACTCCAGAGAGAGGCCATGAAGGAAGCGAACAAACAGGTCCAGGTGGCCATTTTTACTGTCAAGGGATTTCTCCATGGCGCTCCTCAGGAAGACATCCAGGGGTGGGTGACTGTAACTGTTGGTCCAGTATTTCCTCATGAACTCCTCCAGTCCCTCTGAGTTCCTGCTGGTGTAACAGTGGAACATGTAGACTGCAGCCAGAAACTCCTGAACGCTCAGATGAACAAAGCAGTAGACTGTTTTCTGGAAGATCACACTCTCTCTTTTGAAGATCTCTGTACAAACTCCTGAGTACATCGAGGCCTCTGTGACATCAAGACCACACTGCTCCAGGTCTTCTTGGTAGAACATGATGTTTCCTTTCTCCAGCTGTTCAAACGCCAGCCTCCCCAGCTTCAGAAGAACCTTCCTGTCAGCCTCCGTCCACTCCTGTGGACTCGTCTCATGTCCCTCATCGTACTTCTGCTTCTTCCTCTTTATCTGAACCAGCAGGAAGTGTGAGTACAGGTCAGTCAGGGTCTTGGGCAGCTCTCCTCTCTGCTCTGTAGTCAACATGTGCTCCAGAACTGTAGCAGTGATCCAGCAGAAGACTGGGATTAGACACATGATGTGGAGGCTCCTGGAGGTCTTGATGTGTGAGATGATTCTGCTGGACAGCTCTTCATCACTGACTCTCCTCCTGAAGTACTCCTCCTTCTGGGCGTCAGTGAAGCCTTGTACTTCGTTACCCTGTCACACACGAAGGAGGGATCTGATTGGCCGCCGCAGGTCGGGAAGTTATCCAGACGAGAGCCGAGGGAAGCAGATTCCCCTCGATGAGGTTTGTCAGCAGCAGGTTGACTGATGACTTCTGTGTGACATCAGACACAACCTCACTGTTGTGGAAATCCAATGAAAGTCTGCTTTCATCCAGGCCGTCAAAGATGAACAACAGTTTCCAGACGGCGAGCTTCTCTGCTGGGACCTTCTGTAATGTTGGATGGAAAACATGGAGCAGCGTGAGGAGACTGTGCCGCTCATCTTTGATCAAGTTCAGCTCCCTGAACGAGAGCAGAACCAGCAGACCGACATCTTGGTTTTCCGAGCCCTCTGCCCAGTCCAGAGTGAACTTCTGCACTGAGAAGGTTTTTCCAACGCCAGCGACGCCGTTGGTCAGAACCACTCTGATGGCTCTCTGTTGGCCAGGTAAGACTTTAAAGATCTCGTGACACTTGATTACAGTGTCATGGAGGGTCTCCATCTTGGAAGCTGTCTCAAGCTGCCTCACCTCATGCTGGGTATTAACCTCTTCACTCTGTCCCTCTGTGATGTAGAGCTCAGTGTAGATCCTGTTGAGGAGGGTTCCACTTCCTGTTTCATCACTTCCTTCAGTCACACGTTCGCATCTCCTCCTCAGACTGATCTTATGTTCATCTAAAACCTCCTGCAGACCACCACTCACTAAAGAAGAGAAACAATGAATATGTGCTGATTATTTTCATTACTAATATAAAAACCATCAACATCAGAATATCTGAAGAAGCAGACAGATGTCCAGTCTTACTTTGTACAGAGCTGCTCTGACTGGCTGTCTGCAGTCCAGCTCTGGTTCTGGATCTGTCTCCACACTGGGGACAGGAGGAGTCTCCTGATGAAGCAGACTGGTCCCAGTATGAGGTGATGCACCGTCTGCAGAACCAGTGTCCACAGCTGGTAGAGACTGGATCCTTCAGGACGTCCTGACACAAAGCACAGCAGGACGGCTGCTCCTCCACGGAATCATGGCTCCTCTTCCTCTCTCTGTGGACATAAAGACATTTTTTAAGTTAGAAACCTGTCCTGGAATTTCGCAGCAAACGTTTACCTTTAGTGTGTAGCTGATTAGAAAGCAGAAAGCTGCTGCAACACTCTGTTAGTTCTTGGTCTCTCATACTGTGTGTCTCCACCTGCTGTTCATGTATCTGCAGCAGCACGAAGTGTTAGAGAGCTGAGTGGAGGTTATTATAGATCAGAGGGTGTGGTGATTAAGCCAATCACATCACTGATCTCACAGCTCTGTAACAGCTGAGCCAGTCACAGTGATGCATAACAACAGCAGCTCCAAAAATGAAAGAATCAGAAATCATATTGTTTGGATGGTGCAGAGCGGCACTACATGATCAGTTAATTAGTAGCATGACAATAGTACTCAATAATAGTTTGGGAAGCCAGCAAATGAATCTGACTCTGAATTTTACCAGATTTAGTATTGTAAGTAGTAAACACTGAAGACAGTTCTTAATGACTTTCACTGTATGTTTGGGGGTCATTACGGTGCAGAATAAATTTGGGGCTAATCAGATGCCTTCCTGATTGTACTGCATAACGAATATGCATCTGCCTGTACATCTCAGCATTGAGGAGAGGATTCATTTTGACAACCCCGTTTGCATAAATGCAGCCCCAAACTTGCAAGAAACCTCCACCATGCTTCACTGTTGCCTACAGACACTCATTCCTGTACCGCTCTCCAGCCCTTCGATGAACACACTGCCTTCTGCTGCAGCCAGATATTTCAGTTTGACTCATTCCAGAACACCTGCTGGCATTTTTCTGCAGCCCAGTCCTTGTGTTTCGGTGCATAGTTTAGTCGCTTGGCCGTGTTTCCATGTCGGAAGTATGGCTTTTTTGCGGCAGTTATGACCAGACTTCTCCGGCCAATAGATGGTGTACCAGGGTCCCATTGTTTTCTGCAGTTCTGAGCTGATGGCACTGCTGAACATCTGATTGTGAAGGAAAGTAAGCATAATGCGTCATTCATCTGCTGCAGGACTATGACTGCGCTGGTTGGTGGTTTAACCCTCCTTATTACATGGTCAGCTCTGACCTCCTTTACATATTTTTTCATATATTTTATTTCAGACTGATTTTAGTGTTAAGACATAGAAGTGCCTTAAAGGCCAGTATGGTTCATGTTTTGTCAAGATTAGGATGTAGAATCTAGGTGCAGCTAGCATCTGAATACGGGTTTTGGTTCATTTGAATTTGATTTCATTAAGCATTTCTATTATGGATACACCTGGTGAGCAGAGGTCTAAATGGATAAACGTACCGATGATGTGAGCACAGAACGGGCACATAGGTCTACTTGGAGCGTAATAGCCACAACTACCATCCTGTCCTTTCAAAAGTACTTTTTGCATTTTTGTATGTACCCAAATGTCATTACTGGTGATTCTGTGTGGTTGTTTTCTGTCTTATATCTGTAGAGAGGGTGTGATTTGTGTAAAAACAAACAAAACAAAAACAGAGGGGGGGATTTTTTTTTTTAAGTGAAATGTTCGCTGGTGTAATAGGGAAACTGGGCTGCTTGTCATCATAGAAACAGATCAGATTCTGAGGTTTATTGCAGCTTCAGTAATATTGGCTACCTTCCCTTCAACACACAGCTCCGCTGTTCACTGGAACAAATGTCTCATGAGTGTTGATAGGCTATTATTCACAACTTGTAACCAATCAGACAGTGCCGTGGGCGGGACATTAAGCAAGACTCCAGAGTGGCAATTACATACAGGCAGAATGAGGAAGCTGGATCAGAGCAAAAGTAGCACATTTTAAAATGATTTTAACCCTAACAAAACCACGGATCGATCCATTACTTTTATGATAAGTTGCATCAGTATTGAAGTTGCATTGATTGGGCATTGGGGAGATGTGTCAGGAAACCACTGGAAGCGCTTGCGGACCACATAGAAGGGGCTCCTTCTTGACAATGGTGAGAAGAGAAATAACGGTGAAACGGGGAGAAATTCCTGCGTTTGTACCTTTCCTTAATCCCATGTTCAGAGGTAGATTTGTAGAAAATAGAAATTGAGTAATTCCCTGAGCAGTGAGGTAATTGAGTATTACCTCACTGCTGCAAACTCTTCTACTCCCACATGTATCAGGACTTTAAACAGCATGAAGTGAAAGATGCCATTGAACACTGGTGCAGGTGGAACCACAGACGTGTTGGTGTAGAGTAGAAATGTCTTTATGCTGCTGTTTCTATGTTTCAGGTTAGAAACGGTCTCTTACTTTGTGTCTGAGGGTTCATCACTGCAGTCTGGAGGCCTTTCTGTGGACCCGTCCCCCTTCATGGACAGACAGCTGTCCTCCTCTTCCTTCACATCACTCATCTTCAGTCAGTCTGAGTGAAGCAGGAACAGCATCAGAGGAAGGTTAATTATCATTGTATAGAGTCCCTCAGTGAAAACACTACATCTAAAATGACTTCCCCTCCCTCCTGTGTTTCCTAAAGTCGGGCTCTGAATGTGATCCAGGTGACTGTCAGCCAGCAGCTTGTCTTTGAGAGGAAACTAAACAGCTGCTTCAAATCTGAAAGCTTCAACAGAAGAACTCGACCCTCCAAAGAGTCTGAAAGTGGTGCCTCAGAACAGAGCTGCAAATATAGCACTTCCTATTCCTGTTTAAATGTTTGTAGAGTTTTCCTGAATCTGCTGACATGAAGTCTGTCACGTAGCAACCTGTAGAAATAACTTCTATTAAACTTTAGTCTTCTTATGTTTTACTTTCATGAAGAATAAACTGTGTCATAGATTTTTTTGTTTGTCTTTGGTATCATGTCAGATTCAATTTGTGTCTTTGCGACCATTAAAATGTGTTTTCTTGCTAGAACAGCTGATCAGTGACTATTGTTCTGTCACAGGTTTGTAGGAAAGAGCAGGTAGGAGGACCCAAACGCAGGACACTGAGCAGTGACCTGTACTATGAAGGGAGTTCAAACTACTCAGAGTTAACTCGGGGTTATCAGGCAAACTCAGGGTTGACAAACTCTGACTGCCTACACTGGAGTTAAACAGTACTACGACGGTGGATAAGATGTTGGTTAGTTGAGTCCATTTTAACTCAGTGTTAACTTAATTGGAGTTGGTGCGCGTTCGTATAAAAGGGGTGTGTTCGGCCGTGCAGGCAGAGTTTTTGCAAGGGCGCATGCTCCGTATTTCTCTAGAGGAACACACATTGGTATTGTCAGGAAATTATGAATATAAAGACAACTTAACGGCTAAATCTAATATCGTGGTGGTCGACAAAGCCAGGGAGACTTGGTGGCATCGCATTGAGTAAATTTGTAGCCTAATTGTCTTCACAGTGTTCGTATTGTAGATCAAATCTCTATTAGCCTATGTATTTCATGGGCACCTTATTTATGTGGAATATGATTCAGATATAAAATGGTACAGCTACACATACAGTCCATTGTAATAGGAAAAATAAATAAATAAATAAATAAATAAATAAGGAGCCAGCGGAGAGGGATAATAATCCAAGTGAAATTTCCAAGATTAATCTACAAATAAAAATCTTGAATATTCTCTGACAGAGTCACATTTATGAGAGAAACTTCACTTTGCAAGGCTGCAACATCATTATGCACGCACTGGAAAGTTATATTAAACTTTGCAATTGGATTTAACAGTGAGGAAATAGGCTACTCCTGAGGTTAGCCCACAATCTCGATCATGTACCTTATAGACTTTGCCTTGGATTGGGCGTATTCAGAAGAAAAACGTGATTTTCGATTTTCTGACATTAATTTCAGGAAATTTCCGAATTTTCTTTCTTTCATCTAGGATTTTGTTTCTTGGTTATTACCCCTCACCCTGGCTCCCTATTTTTTTGGACATGTAAAATAATCTCTAAATATGTGAAAACACTTAGGAGAATTCAGTTATAGACTACAGATGAGCTACATCTAAAAAACTGTCCCGTTAATTAAATAATTAAGCACAGGCCACAGGTCTGTCCAATAAGTGTTTATTTGACCAATAGAAGGTGAAAATCAAAAATAAAGGGATCCACAAGAAAAACACAGAAACAGGAACACACAAAGAGACAGAGCTAGGCAGGCTACACGCTACAAAACACTGTAATGACCGAACAGAGACTGAACAGAAACAGCAAACATTTAACACCAGGGACTAACAAGCCAGCGGGAGAAACACAGGTGAGAGGAATAAGGACTAACAAGACAGGCAGGCAGAGAGACAGCGGGGGAAAACAGAGAGACAGCACACATGTTACAAAATACCGACAGGAATCTAGCTTCAGACAACAACAGAAACCCATGTAAACAGACAAACACCGACCAACTATAACACAGTGATGATAACAGACAAAACCAAAACGAGAACACAGAACTAGAACACAGAGCAGACTAAACTAAAATAATGCAGACAAAGAACTAGAAGTAAATACTAAGACATGAACAAAGACAGGACCAGGAACAAAGACATGGAACCTAAACACAGACTAAATAACAGATACTGAACTGACCAAGCAATAAACTCAGAGAACTAAACTCAACAGAACAGATGTCAGGACTATAATGCAGATACAAAACCCAGAAACAGAGAAACAACTCAGGACAGGATCGCGAAATGTTCTGTCCTCAGCTGTGAGCTCACCTAGGAAACTTCCTGTTTGTTTTAATGTCAGTAAAGTTCATTGTAATAAAGTTAAACTCTCACAGTCTGTAAACTAATAAGAATGTTAATGAAAACTCACCAGTTTCCTTCTTTCTGCTCTCTGAGCTGACCAACTGAGCATTTCCTTCTCTTTTCTTTGACTGAGTGGCCCCTCCCTGTGGTTTGAGCTGGGGCAAGTTCAATCTTTTTGAACCAGTTTGCAACATTTTCTGATTGAACGACATGTTTCCTTGCAATGTTCCGCAACGGGCTTCGAGGTATGTTTTCATCCGTTTGGTGGGTGTGTCTCAGGTGTTACCCAATCAGCTGCGACAAGTTGTTAAACGATGTTAAAAAGGCACGAAAAATGCAGGTTGTTCAGGGAACCACCGTTTCCGTTGAAAAAAATGTTTTGCTATGTTTTGTCGGTGCTGAACTCGCACCTGAGATGTACCAGCAGTGAGTCCTTCCTTCCGAACTCCCGTTGGAGAAACTATTCAAAAATCCTGCTTGTGTTTTTTTATTGATTCTCCTGTGTGACGGACCGACAGGGAAAATGTGCTTCTCTAGAAGAACAGGCTGTCGGTTCCTTTCATCAGAATAAGTTGAAATGTTTGGACCTCAGCCCAAAAACACGTGATCAGTGACAAAGTAAAAGGCGTCTCTCTTTAGTAACTCACATTTGACCCCTTGAGTCACCATCTTACACAACGTGTTGAAACTACAGACGCTGCCTGTTTTCTTTAAGGAAACTGTCAGCCATTTATTTTGGATCTGTAAATATTATATTCACTGAACAAAATTATAAATGTTACATTTTTGTTTTTTTATGTACACAAAAGGCCTATTTTTCTCAAATATTGTTCACAAATCTGTCTAAATCTGTGTTAGTGAGCACTTTTCCTTTGCTGAGATAATCCATCCACCTCACAGGTTTGGCATATCAAGATGCTGATCAGACAGCATGGGGATTGCAAAGGTGTGCCTTAGGCTGGCCACAATAAAAGGCCTTACGCTGGCCACAATAAAAGGCCACTCCAAAATGTGCTAGGGAGAAACAATTTTCTGCCATTACACCGATCGCAATTGCTCAGTTTAGTGAAGCCAGATAACAAAAAGATATCATGGGTATGTTGACCTTGTCTCGATTTTCGGGCCCCAGGACAACCTCGATGACAGTGGGAGGGGCGTCACATTTTATATTCACAAAGGTCGTTTTCAAATAATAAAACTTTCCTGCTCTGTCCGGTGAAAAATAAAGATTCAGGAATATTGGCTACATTACAGTGTTTCAAAGTTTTGCGCATTCTTTCAGAGCCAAAGCCAACACCTGTCTGATTCCAACACCAACAATCTGGTCGATCAATTCAATCATATCTGCTTGTCGTCACTAAATATTACTGCTCCTCTAAAGGTTAGGCCTACGTCTAAAGCTAGTAAGCAACCCTTGATAAATGACAGCATTCGCAGCCTAAAAAGGGAATGCAGGAAAGCAGAGCGCAGATGGAAAAAATCCAGTCTCCAAGTCCATTACCTCAGTCTGAAGGATTTATTAATTAACTACAATAACATATGGTTAAGGATGCGAGAACACACTATTTTTCTGAACTCATTACTACACATAAACACAATCCCAGGTTTCTGTTTAAGACTGTGGATCAGCTGGTAAACCCAACCCCTCCTTGTGCCTCAGCTGGAAGTAATGATGACTGTGAATTGTTTTTATCTTATTTTACCAATAAGGTGGTGGTTAAGGATGCGAGAACACAGCTGCAGCGTGTTTATCTTGTATTGATTTTGTATTATTGTTTTGGGGGTATTATTGTCTTTACACTTGTTAAAGCACTTTGTAACTTGTTTTTGAAAAGTGCTCTACAAATAAAGATTATTATTATTATTATTATCATCATCATGACTAAAAGACTCGACTTCAACACCAATGACTCTGACTTCATGTGGACTTCAGCCTTTTGACTCGAAATGAGTTGACGCCTTCTCCAAGCTCTTTTAACTCATTAAAAATATGAAATGGTATTAAATTTGGTGGCTGGAGACTTGATTGTGGCTTGTAAAACAAAGACTTGGTCCCACCTCTGTGGAGGAGTGAAGAGTGATCTCTGAGGAGCTATGAGTGAGGATATATGAAAGTAGCCTTCACGGAAGTCTTTTACTGACCGACAAGCCCCCTTATTGGATATCAGTTATTAATAGGCCTACTGAGTCGGACTATCACTTTACAATCACAGGTGCATGAGCAGCCTAAACTATGTGTAATCTGTTCGATTAATATTTTCATTTTCAGTTATTGCCACTGGCATTTAGTCCTGTCAGGTTCCAGCTGAATAAACAGGCCTGTAGCTGTTTAAAATGAATAACAGGCTGTAAGAGAATTCCAGAACTTTATCATTCATTAAGGAAATTCCAGTCTGGTAAATAATGAATGAGCAGCGCTGTATAAAATGTAATAATGTTAATGTATTGATCCTTCCTCCACTCCTACGTTTTAGAGCCAATCACAGAACTTATTCTGATCGGCCTTTCTGAAACGGAAAACTCGGAGTTTGACAGCTTCGTCAACCCAGAGCTTTGTCAACCCAGAGTTCAGGTTTACACTCAAAGTTTGTTGAACCTGCTTTCTGAAACAGGGCCCAGGGGAAAACAGAATCACAAGCAAAAAAAGAGAAATAAGCAGGACACTCACCGTCAGCCGGGCTGCCACCACAACAACTGATAAAAAAAAAAAAATTACCATTAAAATAAATAGCCGTAAACATGTGTGTGTGTGTGTGTATTAATAGACAAAAAAATTTAAAAAAATAGTTAATTGATTAAAAAATTATAATAATTATTGGTATAAATTAGACAATAAAGCCAAATGATGAAATATTGAATTGATTTTGTCCACAGCAGAATTTACACCAGAATTATTCTGGTGAGTTAAATCATATATGTTTTGATTTTCCAGTGCCTTTTGGTATGCCCCCATGCTGTCTGGGGTCCATCTGTAGGGGTATGTGCTGTTAAACAGTTCACAGGCACTAGGGGCCCCAGACTTAGCCTGAGCCCTTTTCAGATAGATAGTGATTTTGCTGTGGTCTGAGAGGGGTGTGAGGGGGCTGACTGTGAAAGCTCTTTGAGACATTGGATCTAGATCTGTAATGAAATAATCTACCGTACTACTGCCAAGAGCTGAGCTGTAAGTGTAGCGACCCAGAGAGTCCCCTCGTAGCCTGCCGTTGACTATGTACAGATCCAGCGTAGAGAGCAGAGCTGTCAAAGTTGCATACCGCTTGTATTAGTAATCTTGTCAAAGCTCTTTCTAGCAGGACATTCATGGAGGGGGAAGCAGGTGCTTCCAGGTAAGTGTTTGTCTCCCTGGGTGTTCATAGTGGCAGCTCTTTCCCCTGTTCGAGCGTTCAAGTCCCCACAGAGTAATACATTTCCCATGGTTTTATAATGGTTAACTTCCTCCTCGAGAATATTTGGTGATCAGCATGGTGAGGTCTAGATGGTCTTTAAGGTCTAGGAGGTCCTGGAGGTCTGCGTGGGGTCTGCGTTGTGTGGTTACCGCTTGGAGTGGTAGTAAGGCTCCTTCCAAGAGTAACATCCTTCAGAGTCCTAGCAAATGTGGGGACTGCATTTCAGTGTAGGTGTATGTTATCAGACAGGCAGTCCAGGTGAAGGGTCGGGTGGTGGGCCAAGAACACGTTGGGTTTGAGGGCACAGTTCCTGGAGAGGCGGATATTCACTCTGTCAGTGGTGTGGGGATGGTCTCTCCTGTGCAGCAGCGTAGATATGACTATCTTGCTGGTAGGGAAATTGGTGGAAGCTTGCTCAATGACTCTCCTCAGGGAGTCTGCCCTGTTGGGACCTTAAATCGTTGGTGCCTGTATGAATGATGATGTAGCTAGGTGAGCCTAGCTCAGGCACTGTTAACAGCTCTGGTGTTGGGGCACCAGATCTTCTCCGTTCTGTGCCTTGGGAATAAGGTCTTTTCATACAGGAACTTTCCATTAGAGTCCATGAGGAGGATAATGTCAGCTCTTCTGCCTGTGTGTGTTTGTTCAGACTCAGCTATCGGGTCTCGATGTGGAGCTGTGGTGGTGGTTTCAGGTCTGGAGCTCCTGGCTGGAGGCTGGCTAGAGGCCGGGCCTTGGACAGGTGTAGGGGTGTGACTGGCGTCTTTGCTTGGGAAGTGTGTAGGGAGGCAGCTGGTTGGTACGGGGGGGGGCTTACCTCAGTGGTATTTGCGCTGCGGCCAACTAGTCTCGTGCTACCCAGACTCTGTTGCAGCTGCGACAGGGAGCTAAGAGCGTTGCAGACTTTTCAGTGGAATTTCGCACGCTGGCAGCAGATTCTGGGAGAAACAATGAGGCTTTACATGGGGTATTTCAAAATGCCTTAAGTGAACAACTAAAGAACGAGTTAGCTGCACGTGATGAGACCTCTGTTTTTGACTCTCTGGTTTCTCTTGCTATCAGGCTAGACAACCGCGTTCGGCAGCGACGCAGAGAGAAAGCTAACCACTTCCTTCCACTCAGCTACCCTTGTTCTTCTGCGCCGCCTCCCGCGAGGGTGGAGAAATGGCCTGACTCTGGAGAGCCGAGGGCTGAAACGAAAGAACCCTCTAGTGAGGAGCCCATGCAATTGGGCCGAGCCCACTTTATCTTCCATGGAATGCCTCTGCCAATTCAGAGCAGGTGAGTGCCTGTAGAGGGTTAGGGTTATATCATCCTCCTTGTTTCCCTCACAGGAGGAGGATATTCCCATCCCATCTATCCAAGTGCACCTCCATCGCTGCCGTAAGATCTGGAGGGTTGCTCGCTCTGCCCTTCTCCGCACCACTGAAAACAACCGGTGCTTGGCAGATTGGCACAGACTCAGGCTCCCCATTACCTTCAAGGTCAGAAAGTTTGTCTCTCCGCTAAGAACATTCCTTTAAAGACCGAATCCAGAAAACGGCCCCCACGTTTCATTGGTCTGTACGAAATTGATAAAATAATTAGCCCAACTGCTGTCAGGCTGAGGTTGCCGAGAACTATGAGGATCCATCCTGTCTTCCATGTCTCACAAATAAAGCCAGTCCTTTATGCCCTCCGGCTCCTCCCCCTCCTCCCAGATCGTCGATGACCACCCGGCATACTCGGTTAGCCGGCTCCTGGACGTCCACCACCAGGGCAGGGGGTTGCAGTATCTGGTGGACTGGGAAGGGTATGGCCCTGAAGAGCGTTTGTGGAACCCATGGTCTTTCATTATGAATCCTCGGCTCATCGGCCTGGTGGGTTCGCCCGGAGGCTCCCCTTGCGGGGGGTACTGTTATGAGTCTGCAGTTCTCCTCTCCTACCCCATGTGTTTCTGTTCTCCTCCCTCCTAGTGTCTCCTGTTAGTCTCCCTGTCTGTCTCTCTGTGTTGTCTGTGTGCCTGTTTGGGGCGTGGCTTCTCAGTCTGTGCCTGGCTCTCCACCTCCTCCTGCACACCTGATCTACATTCCACTAATCAAGACTCTGCAGTATATCAACCCAGTTCTTCACCTCAATCGTCGCCAGATCGTCAGCTCACCTCAGTGGTATTTGCTTTATGGCCAACTAGTCTCGTGCTATATATTCTGTTGTTTGTTTCTTGTGAAATCACTTACCTTGTCTCCCTGTGCCCAGGATCACTGCCTGCCTGGAGGATCTGCCATCTGTCAAGCTCAGCTCACTGCCCGCCTGGAAATTCACTCGCTGGTCTCCATTCCCTGGTATGCCCCCTGCTCAGCTCTCACGCCTTGTTTCAATAAACTTTAAATTCCTGGATTTGAACCTGCCTTGAGTCTGCTTTTGAGTCCATTCACCTAGTCTGCCATAACAGATCATTCCTCAGCGCTGTAGCTCGTTTAATCTTGAGAAGCTGCAGAGCTGGAAGCTCTATTCATTATCACTGTAACTTACACTGTACATTTACAGCTGACCCTTTTCACTCGGCTCGCCTTGCCATCTCGAAAAATCGACTTTACTAATAGGACACAACTACTTTATTAATCCCACTAGGGGCAACTAGTTTAAAGCAACATGTTTGCAAAAACAAGTGCAAAACACTAAACAGTGTGTGGAACTGCCATAAGCTGTTAGATAGAAACACTGCAAATAGTGGGGAGTAAGTATGGCTTTAGATAAAAGGTGTGTTCATCATGATGGGTGTAGTTCTTAACACCCAGGTTTGTTATGTTTCTCTTCTTCTGTATATTTGTCACTTATGTGAGAGGGAAAAGAGAAAAGGAAACGAGAGGCAAGTGCCACAATGATCTAAGATGGCCGCTGGTATGGCAGGCATGGTAACGGCTCTTCTACTATACACTCTAATTTTGGGTTTCATACCATCTAAAGTTGGTTTAGACCTTAAACATGCTGAAAACAAGCAACAACTTTTTTCCAATGGGAAAATATATTTCAGCAGTATGGATCTAACGTTACTTCTTAAACAAACAATCAATAACAAGCCAAGCATTGGTTATGGGAAATACCTTGTGGCTATGACTTTCATTTATCCTCAGCTGTACAAACAATTACAAAAAAAAAAAAAAAACTATGACAAATTCACGACTACAATGGACCAACGCACTGCTCATCACAATCTGTTTAATATACATCCATGCCCAGGACCGCACCGCGTCACACTGGAGGGGAGGCCTGGAGAGGAGCATACTACTACAGTCCTACAGGTATGCCCGTTGTATGATGTACTACAGTGTGGTCCTGTACTTTCTAACCTTCCCTGTCCGTCGCCCTCGTTTGGTGCTGTCGCGGATGGGGCGCCGGGGAGATGTGCTGGTGCTGGGGTGCAGAAGGTGGTGGATCGGCGTGCACAGGTTTCTCGCGCCGGCGTGGCTGGAGTGCGGCGTGTCCTCGGAGGATCAGGGGGGGCGATCCCACGGAGCGATGACCTCGCGGGGACATCGGGTGGACCACATGTTTCTGCTGGGTTGGCTAGACCCCGGAGCTCTGAGACAATTTCAAGAACGTGCGCTTCACATGTCCCCATAGTAATGCAGAATGTAAACAGAAAACGGATAAATCCAGGGATTGCAAAGAACAGGAAGTGGGAGGTGTTTCAGACTGTCAATCATTCGCGAACAGTATGGGACCCTAGGGCTAAACCAAAGGGACTTTTAGGTGGTCATTTAAATATTAGAAGTTTACTGTCTAAAAGTGAGCAAATACAGCAGGTGAAGTAACACCTAAAACACTGATGAGGGTGCAAGTATGTGTACACTTTGTCACGGTCAGCCATGGTTTTCATTCACTTTCGGCATCATGCACCACCATGCACCTGGAACCCTTTGAGGTTGGAAGTCAGAAGTTTCAACTGGGAAAAATCCCAGTTACGACCAGTCTCGAACACGCCACAACTTCGTGACGTCGGGTGTAACTTCCCCGTTAACTCGTACTACGAAAGGTGGATAGGTGTTACCCAAAGTCTGTTGCCATGACAATTTCCCCCGCATCTCTGAACTGCTCTGAGCAGGTTTTGTTCATGGTTATCTCGAGATTACCCTGCACGTGGACTACACACCACATCTGTACTCAGTGTTAATGGTGAGAAGTAGGATATTAATACACACCGCTTCATAAAACATTTAGATTTCATCCTGATTTGTTCCACTGCGGTTGCAATGAAGTTCAGAACACAACAGTGTTAGGTTCAGACAGCGAGCCCTGCAGCCTCTGGAATTTTAGAGAGGAATCTTAATTAACAGGATAGTTTCTTAGATGGAGCCCATCTGTAGTCTATAATTGAATTCTCCTAAGTGTTTTCACATATTTTAATTGACTATTGTAATGGAAATGAACCATTCTGGAGATGTGAAATAAAGTTGGTCCTGAACACAGAGTTGTCTTTCTCATATTTATTCTAGTCCTATTTTTGACACCTGTTGCTGTGCATAAAGATAATTTACACGAATGACAGTTACTAGAACCCGTTAGTTGGAAACAGGAAATTGTCAGACACTTAGTAGGTCAGATAGCGGTTCTGTGTCATCACCACATCATCAGCGTATGTAAAATAGAGAAAATAGAAAGATACCGAGAATGCAGAAGTGGAAGACAACTGAACTCACGGTGAAGTACATAATGATCTCGATGTATCTATTAAACAGTATAAGAATCATACAATAATGCTATAAGACATATAAATTGCCATAACACTCCCCTCTTTTTTTCATTCATTGAACAATAAAAACATAATAGAAAAGACATGGTAGTAAAACATCCATACACACCATCACTAGTTTAAGTAAATCCTTAATAAATTACCGTTAGAAAATCAACTATTTATGTGGTGTGACATACAGAAACAGTGCTATAAGGAACGCAATGGAAAATGTAAGGCAGAAACCTTCTATTAGTGACCAGGATCATCTGCATGTGGATCTGTAACGCTTCCATCTCTCATGGTTTTCCATATTACCTGTAGGCTCATGCCCAGGGGGCTCCATCTCCAACCCCTCGCCAGGAGTTAGGCAACACAGTTCAGAGGTTCCTTATTGATACATCTCTAACATCTGCGAGTCAGTTTACATACAACATACACAAAAGATGCCGAAAAACAATATAGACTGCGTAATGATAAGGAGGGGAATTAATATCAGTGATACAAACATCTAACTGTTCTGCGAAAGCTGCTGTTCTCAGATTTGTAAGAAGATCTCATGACCAGGGAAAGTGTCAGGGTGTTGTGGTGGTTGAGCAGGTGGGACCCAAACGCAGGACGCAGAGCAGAGAACAGAACAGAAATCCAAATCCAGGGAAACACAACAGGCAGGCAGGCAGGCAGGCAACTGCTGGATTTTTGAAAGTATCCAACAGAGAAACTCCCACCCCCTCCTATCTGGGCTCCTTCCAAAGCCACGCCCCCAAAACTTGTGGACGTGCGTTGCCAACTCTGCCGGAGGACGAGCACAGTGTGACGAGCAGAGAGCAGCGCGATGCAGCGGCTCACATCAGGGGTAAGAAAACATTTAACTTTATTGTTATAAACACAATATAATAATAATAAACAACTACCCGGCTGTTAGTACTCACTATCAAGCTAGCATGTTAATTTTTGGATAGGTAAGCTGTAACTATAGCTGCGGTAACATCGGCCAAAGCTAAAAACAGGCTGATACACATTTTCCCGTTTCCATCAGTTACACTACACAAATTTCATATTAGACTCCTAACATGTATCTGGTTCTGCATGTTCGAGCTTCCACGGTGACAGCATTATTGTCTCTGATGAGGACTGGACCCCAGAGCCAAGCACAGACAGGGACAGGACTGGGATCAGCGCAGGGTCAAGGCGAAGCAGAAGAGGGGGGCTGCCAGGGTCCAAGGAAGAAGAGGCAGGACGGGGAGGACGAGGTGCCCAGCTAAGCAGCACATACCTGCGTTGAGCTGCACACTCAAACAACGGCACATGAACAGGTGTATATATATTCTAATATTAGTCTATTGTCTCCCAGTGTACTTGTCTCAGAGTTTCTCTGGTGTTTCCCCCTAAGTCCTTTGGGTGTCAAAAATAAAGTGATATATAAATGTAATCCATCCCTATTGTTATTACTTTTTTATTATTGTTTACTGAATACAACTAACTACCGCTCTGCTTCAGCCATGGTCTCATCTGTGTGATGTACATTGACCTGGTATGTAATGTAGACACAGAAGTCCTGTTAGAGAACAATAAACCCCTGTTAAAAAAAAAAAAAAAAAAATATCTGATCATGTTGATGAATGTTCTGTCCTATTACACCAATCTTTCCAATGTGGGGTTCTGACAACTATATATTCCTTTACAGGCCAGAATCTGAGGACTGTGGACAACATCCAGACTACAGTGTTTATATGCACCACATGGCTGATTTTCCAGACCCAGGACAGAGTAACAGACAGTTCAGTCAGGCAGCATACAGACAGTTTGTAGTGTGGCAGTGTGGAGCACTTAGACACAGAGTCGTGATACTGAGCTGCTGTTTCTGGAAGATATGCAAGTGTTCTCCTGATCCACTAGGACAATACAGAGGTTTAATCCTAGCAGGGTGTAAGATGTAATGTCACCAACTGCTGCACAAATAATTCCATCCACTGTGAATGGATGAATACCTGTACATTGTTTTTGTTTTATTCTCAGGAGGGTAGAGAAAATACAAAGTATATTTTTCCCTGTTCTGGAGAATATTTTCATTCTTTTTTAAATAAAACATTGAAAATGATAAATGCCTTTTCTTTACACTTGCAGCATAAACAATCAAGCAACTACATTTATGTCTTATGTCTCCAATAATGACATCCAAATGTGGTATTACACTTGTTTATTGTTATTAAAATACTACTAAAACTACAACCTGTATCACAAATAGATCATTTTTAAACATCATTAAAAATAAGTATATACAGGAAGAAAGACAAGTCCAGAGGTGTGTTGACTGATTATGAAGACAGTTCAGACTTTGCATGTAGCATCATATCGCTGCTGTGGAGATGATTTAATATATCACAGTCACCTCTCTGACATGATTACCACATTTCAAAACCAATCATAGTACTTTTTGTTTTATATTTTGCTGTATCTACAATACAGTTGGGGCAGGGACACCTGAAAGGACCCCATGTTGACGGGGATCATCGGGTCTTCTAGTTCTGCTTCTAGGCAGCTCCTCAGTAGCAGACAACCATCGGAGGAGAAGGATGGCACTCTGGAGGTCTGCCATGTAACTGTAGTCCTTCTCCACCTTCAATGAGTACAAGCTCCACTTCCTTGACTTTTTGTAGTACACCTTGCTGTACCTGATAATACAGAAAGGAGGATCAGCTTAGTGAAAAGTTTGTAATACCTGACATTGTTCTCTTATACAGTAGTTAGCATTTCCACATAAAATGCAATCAAAACAATAAATTAGCACCCTTATCTGTATTCCTCATACTGTTTAATATTTTTTGATTAATCACTTATAAATGTATTGAGTAAAAATGCATAGGAGTACTCATAATGCAACATACTGAACTGTGTCATCAGCTTTTCTCCTGGCTGGTCTGTGGCTATGGTGGTTGTAATCCAGGCCAACCAGCACGGGCCAATCACCGTATACTGGTGAGAAGCACAGGGCTATTAATAACTTTATTGCAGACACAGGTCCATATAACACATCATACAGTACACAATACAAGGAAATACATAAATAAAAAATACATATATAAAAATTCCATATTAGCCTAGAATATACAGACTATCGCACCAATGCCGTCTTAACCTAGAAGTGTATCTATAGCAGCTTTTCAGAGGACTGACTAGGGCTTCAATTATATGATTCTCTGACTTGTCCAGGTGACACATAAAACTAAACATCAGTTGTCTTAAGAGTGCCTCCCAAGTTGGCACTCTAGTAGACACAAACAAATGACTAGCACTATGCCACGTAGGCTAGCTATGAAAGACTCCAAATCTGCAGGTGACCTGAGGGCACAGTAGAAATAAAACATACAGGATTTTTTTACTTCTGGTGAAATAAGTAATGGCATAACAGCACCAGTTACAGTAAAAGTTTTTCAAACAGGACGTTTAGCTATTTACAATGTAAAATTATATTATAGGTAGCTTATATGCCAGAAACACAGATACTTGGGGACCTTTAGCCATCATTGTTTATGTTCACTAACGTTGAAATGTCTTTCTCATAACTACAAAAACACACAGCTACATCACCACATTTGTAAAACAAGACACAAGATAATCACACAAAGAGATTAGATACAATGTAAAGATAACGTAAAGTTAGGTGTAAACATAGTATAACAATATACCTATATGGTGAATAGCTAAACCGGCGCAGTCTACACTTACATTGTCTTACCTAATGTTAGTGTCGCAAAATACTGCTTGCGCTGCTGTTTTTCATCATCTCTACTCTGGCTCCTACACCAGTCTGCACTCGTAGCAACAGTTAGCTGTATGCTAAGTAGGTGGCTACATGCTAGCGATGAAAGTAACAAATTACCATCAAAATGATAAAAGCCAGATTTAAAGCCACCACACTGTGACAGCCTCTCGTTGTTCCTCAGTTGTCACTATCGTTGAAAAGCCACACAGATATCACCCACCGGTCTGACCGCTTCGCTCATCGGTCTGAGAGCTGACCAGGTGCGCACGGGGGCAGCTCCTGTAGCAGCAGGGCTGGTAGCCATGGCAGCGAGTGAGAGTGACAGTCAGCCAGCCAATCATTGCATTCGGTCCGAATGAAACGAGTGGCTGTGTTTACTGCAGCCCTGAGAGGACTACAGACAGCCGATTTTTATACTCTCTTTTTCAGAGCACCTAACTTTTTAATATGCATTGCTGTATAAAGACAGTCTCAACAAATATGACAAAAAGTGTTTTAGAAACAACTTGCCTACCCTGCCTTTAAACAGGAAACATGAACACAAAAACCACATTCCTAACAGAAAGTGTGGATGGGAGTGGAGTGTATCTTGTGGAAGTGTGAGAGTCAGG